AGCCATTAACTTAAACACAGGCTAGCAGAGACGACTGCTGTGACTGTACACCGGCTGTGAGGTGTGCAAGTGTGCGCGCGAGCAGGATAAATCACTGTAGGAATTATTTAAGCTTGCCGATCTGAGGGATATTTTAATGGAAAGCAACACGCACAAACAGTCGTGCATTTCACTAAAGTACATCTGTGCTCAAACATTTTAAATGCAACAAAATGAGAAGAAACTGGTCAGAAAAGCTCATGTGAAACAGTTTGGGCAGCCATCATACACATTTCAACAACTCACGGTTCCGCTGTTGGAGCATATGATCAAAAATAAAATCAACAGCAGCTTTAATGTTAATGTTTTAAAACGTTTTAATTATATATTTTAATTGATTGGCATGAGCCTGGGCAGTAAGAGCTTCTAGTAGTTGGTCTAACAACAGAAAAGTTGGAGGTTGCCTGTTCCTCCTGTGGGCCTCCTTTTGGAGTTTGTTTTTTGGAGCACTGCTCCAGTGACTACACGCATTGTTTTTTACATTAAACAAGGATTCTAAATCAGCTTTAAATGTATGTCTTTTTTTTTTTTTTTAAGTTATTAAGGTTACCAAAATGTGACAAGAATAACACACACCTTTTAACCGAGTACTTGAATAAAGCGGCCAATCAACAGACCCCAAAATGTAAAGGTGCTGCTTATTATTAACAGAGCAAATAAACTATGTTGGTAGCCAAACGGGACAGTAAGCACTTTGAATTTGTTCCCCTTGATGAAATCAAAAGACACTATACATAACATGCAACTCTCAACTGAACAAAGGATATGCTAAATATCTAACTTTTTTTTTGTTTGCTTAGAAAATGTGGCAACTAATTGTATTCTGTTTTTATTTATGTTTTACACGATGTCTCAACTTCAATTGGGGTTTCATCTCTCCAAACCTGGCTGTCTGGACTGTAAGGGAGCACAAAGCAAGAGATCTTTAGAGTTGGAAGAAAGTTTTAGTCTCCAATCAGAAGAAATTATTTTACGTAGACAGTCTTTATGGCTTCCAATGTTACTGTCATGACCAGGAGTTCCCACTGGAGATGTTTTTATGATCAGGAAGCTTTTTCTCAACTACTTACACTTTTCTACCACCCTGCATGTTTTTATGATCTAGAATCTATGTTTGCACAAAATTTTAGTTCCCACAGTGCTATTTGGGAAAATTCGCGTCAACCATGCTTACATTGATTTTTGAAGTAATCAACCAGGACGGTGGGACTAATCAGAGCCGAGTCCTTTTTTTTTTTTTTTTTTTTCTTCCTTTCAATCTTTTAGTTCTGATTTGTTGGGTATGGCACAAACGTGATTGGATGACAAATAGTCGGTTTGAGTCCTAATGTCATTTTCAATCATTTTCCTGCTCTCCTTTCTGTCGCTTCCAGTTTATTTTCAAGCTCAACTGGTCACAATCTAGCTGCAAAAATATAAATGTCTGTGCATTTTCCCCGAGTTTAAAGGTTTTGCTGACCAGTGTATTCTGAAGGTGAAATGGCTCTGTTCTTATTTTGCTAAGGTTGTATCAATATGTTTTTTGTTGTGTTTTTTTTTTTTTACTTTTTGATTATATATTAGGAACATATGTATACAGTTGAAATATGGTAAGTAGAGATATGAGTTAAAGTCCTTTGTAACTATTGTCTGTGGTGATCTGGATCGAGTCGGAGCGAGAGCGAGTCATGGCCACTAGCGACACGGTTCAGACATCTAATGAGAACACATCCCTGAGAAACAGTTAGCAGCGTGTCCAACTGGGTGGAGATCACACTCAGAATTCACTTAAGCACAGTCTGAGTGTGATTCCGGGACCTCAACGCTGAGGTGGAGAAGAGGTTAGAAAGGAGGAGTGCTTTTCTTAGCTCCTTGTTATTGCATCCTTGACCCATGAAGAGCAGCGGGGAATGAGTGGATCAGTGAAGACGACTTGAATTTACATGAAGTTAGAGGAGCTGTGAGAGGAAAGTCATTTACATACGGCTGCAAATAAGTAGGGGCAAATTTCCATGAACCTCGTGCATTGTTGTGTAGATCATTTACCAGCAGCGCAGCGGTTTCTCTGTTTTTATCTATAAAGTTTTGACACAGAATTTAATTTTTTCTGGGCATGACAAAACGGCTAGCTGGGATTAACAAAATGTTACAAGAACAGACTTCTTTAAATGCAATACTGCAAATCCAATATTGTGCAGTCAAGAAGGGTCTAAACAAAAACAACCTTATCCTCTCTAATCTCTTCTTGTACGTCTCATTTTTCTTTTGTCCTACTTTTTTTTCCCCGCGTTTTTTTTATTTATGAGAACTATAATAACAGAAGGCGCGCTCCTCTTTCTTTCCAATTCTGCATTGTCCAAGTGTTCAAAGCCAGATTACAATCAGACTTTTGTCATCAGTTAATCATCCTTATGGTGGAGGAAGACACAGAGAGAAAGAGGACGAGAGCAAATGATCTCTGATGGTGGCAACGACGCAGCTAACGATTTCCATCTAATTGCTTCTCCTCGGCTTCTAGAAAGTGGCGAGGGTTGAGGAGAAGAGGATAAGAGGGCCACAGACAGTGAGAAAAAGAGAGGGTGCCAATAATGACAAGCCATTCAGCCTCTAACACTCACCTCTGATAATAATGGTTTAGTCAGGGCTATTTGCCCGTATGATCCTCCGCCTCCTCTTCATCTCTATGCTTACCCTCCTGTCCTTTGCCAATATTTTCCTCCTCAGTTCAAATTGCCCCCCCCCACCCCCCCACTTTTTACATGTGATATATGAACACCACCACAAGGTGTTCCAGCTGTTCCTTTCAAATGTGCTCTAATAATATTCCTGGGTTTGCACAGCGATTTGTGTTTAAGTTATGAAACTTTATCTCCAGCTTGCTATTTTGTGATATTGGCAAGGTTTGCCTACTGCAAGTTTCACTGGGTTAAATGCAAGACTTTATAGGGGCTTTCAGGACCATTACGATTACAATTTAAGACCTGTGTAATAATAATAAAAAAAAATGCCTATAATTATTTAATGACATCAGCAATAAGAATAACATTTTACAAGAATAACATTTTACAACCTAAACTAGGGTTATTCAGCTCTGGAAAATTAACAAGTTCTTTTACTTCTAGGTTACCCAGCTACCACATCCTTCTCCAGCCCATGATTGGTCAGCACAAACTACTATAAATCCACATTTTAATGCCATATATATGATCAAGAAATTGGTAGTGAATATTGAAATAAAAAAATGTTTCCAATTATAATTTATTTTAAGCCAGTTTCAGAAAATGGATTTTTAAACAGATAAATTTCGATCCATAAGCTTTATTACTGATCAGGGCGTTGATTGTTTAAGTACAACAACCGACTTCCCATCAGAACTGCAACACATGGAGCAAAAATTGCACTTGGTTATTATCTGTCAAAGAAGTCGAGACTTTAAATCGTAAACGTAAAGGGAAATGTTTCTGTAATTTAGTGAGACTCACCATATTTTGCAATTGGATTACAAGGTTGGACCATTTGTAAACAGTCCAATATCAAAATCAAAATTTTACACAAACTAAATTTGTGGTTGAAATTGTAAGTTCAGATTTATGAAACATTTGAACCAAACTATGAACTACGCTAAAGAAACAACACAATAATTCGGTGTGGCCACTTACAGCTAATAACTTCTCCAATGACTATTCAAAAGACATAATAGAACAAAAACTAAACCTAAGATTAATCAGGTCTAGAAAATGTATGAAACTACATTACAGGAGCGAATGCAGAAATGAAACTGCTACTGTTCAACTGTTGTCCAATCTGAAGCAAAAGGCTTGGTCTGTAAGAAGAGAGGGTCTCTGATCTCCAGTGCTGAAAACCTTCTGACAAGACTTCACGCTACAAACAACAGGAGTTTGGGCTGATTTTCACACTCTATCCTGGCTACCTTTCATTTATTCGCCAGAAATAAAAGACGCTTATTTGAAGCTTTGTGCTTCTCTGAACTCTGCTGCTTTCAGAGCTCAGCAGGAATTATCTTTATTTTAATGACTTCAGCAAACTATGTTAATAAAAGTCTTGGACTGCAACTGCTTCTGTATCCATTTCTTTGGCTTTCTATGCTTTCAATCTGTTTTCACAAAAGAAATAATTGAAGTTTGAACTTTTAAAAGCTACATATAATCTTACTTATTATGAAATGCTTTTAAATGAACATCAACAATACGACACAGATTTCCTTGACTTTCTGCTGTATCTTTTTGTTTTACTGATTACTTTAAGGGCCATCTTTAAAGGAACAGTTTAGTTGTTTCAAAGCTTGGTTGTGTTTGGGATTCAAAGGATTTGTCAGCTAACTCACAACAAAATGATTCTTTGATGCAAAATCTTTGTTTCATACATTAAATAACTGACACATTTTCCCCAAACTGTTACTGTGTTTCAAAAATACACTTACTGTCATTGAACATTCTCGCAAGGTCCACACAAAGAAATGTTTCTTTGCTTCTAAAAGTCTTAAAATGTCTTGTTTTGAACTGGTATCTACTAACCTGGACCAAGAACCAGGACATGAGCACAGCGATCCAGGGGTTGCCACTGCGGGACGTCTTCTTAGCTAGACACAGCACCTTACCTGTAGGAACATATTTAAGAGGTTATAAGAAAGTTCTCAGAGGGGGAAAAAAACATCCATTGACAAACTTCAAATGTTCATAAGAAACCACATTAGTGGAATACAAGTGAACTTTCTGCCAAGTTAGAGTATTTTAATACTAAAAACTTCACATTGCTTATCCAACAACAATGAAGCCAAACAGATAAAGTACATATTAAGTGCACCCCAAAAATTATTCAAATTTCAAGGGGAGTTTTTCAGTTTTCTGAATGTCGTCAGATGCAAGACATTCAATGCTACATGTCTGTATTGGGGAGGTGTAATAATATTAGCGGTTAAACAAGATACAAAAAGGAAGAAAAAAAAAACTACCACCAGCTAAATGAAACTCACCATAATTCTCAGATGTGTTCATCAGTTTGGGGAAAATTTAATCTTAACCAAAGCAGGGTTAGATTATTAATAAAAGTCCCAAAATGTCCATAAACTACTTCTTACATGAAGGTCTGTATTTGAAGAAATGAGGGCCACTTTGAGGAACTTCAGGTTTTGTCACTCTTAAGTAAAGTGCGACATTTATCTGTCAGATAACGGCAGGAAGCTGTTGCTACTGTTCACAATAACCACTTAGAAAAATATTGTCTGTTGAGCTGCGACGTTGAGATGGATTGGCCAGAATTCATCATTATCAACATGCAAGCCTAGATAACGTCTTGAATCAGTGGTACAGACTGGTGGTGTCTAATGGTGTGGAACATTGAACTGTCTCAAAGTAATTTTGTTTAATTTGTTAATTGTACTCATATCTTTTACACATACACACCAAACAAACTAACTGGATGTATGGAACAGGATGTTTGCATGATGGATGTGCAACCAAAGAACCTGCAGTAACCGGGTGATGTAATCATATCACCCTGAAACTCTGGGGAAAGTTTTGGATACCAGACCTGGGGATTGCTGTAATGTTTCAGAAGCATTAAGGCACTTCTGATGGTGAAACAAGGTCAAACACCTGCGCTAGCAAGCTGTATCTAATAAAGTGGCCTGGCAATTTTTATGTACAAGATCACCAGTGTACATCAGTATTTAGATTAGGAGTGGCAAGCTTTAAAAACCCTGACATTTAAACAGATTTCTGTAATTAACTCCACGTCTGGTCTAAAAACAGAGAGCTGGAGTAGGCGGCAGAGATGGTGAGAGAGATAAACTGAGCCGATGAGTCACTTTATTTAATAACTCACGGCCACTTGGTTTGCTGGAAGACAGCGCTCCCACATACTTGTCATACCTCAGACAACTTTCTCTTACCGCCGTCACATTCTTACTTAAGAGGTGGCTGACTGACCCACGACTGACTGACAGACTACCTCCATACGCACAGCCCGGTATGGAGGTAGAATGAAGTGGCGGGAGACGGAGAGAAATCTACGTTTCAGAGTAAATTTCACACCTGATAAAGAAGCTGAATTAAATCAGTGAGACTTTTAAGTCAAATCAATGCAGTTGTGGGAGGAGGGTGGAGAGAGGCAGTTCGGCGCTGAAGGAGTTGGAGATTAGCAAGTTGCAGAGAAGAAAGAGACTGAGATGTGTGAGAAGAAAACTCCAGAGTGTACGTGTTGGGAAAGTGACACGTCCATCAGTCAGTCCGCATAGGACAGTGGCAAGGTTAAGCACCGAGCTGCATGCATGAATGACAACAAGAACACACACAAACGGACAACCGCTGTGGTCACAGTCACAAATATCTGCTGTTCCTCCTCAACTTGTGTGGTTCCACAGTTGCCAACTTCTAATTAAACTAATTCATTTGATTTATGTTAACCCTTTGGCTGTTGGAGTGTAGGCAAGCCTGAATCAGCTGCTTCTTTTGATCACTCTGCAGACAAACGTGTGCTAATAAATTCTTTTATCTCCCCTAAAGCACACACCGGCGCTTGAGTACATGCAGGTGGAAACAGGGGGACAAATAAACTATGCTTAAAAATATACTGCTCAAAAAAATAAAGGGAACATTTCACTTTAATTTTGTGTGTGGCTCCAAATCCAGGCCTCCATTGGTTAATAAATTTGATTTCCATTGATGATTTTTGTGTGATTTTGTTGTCAGCACATTCAACTTTGTACAGAACAAAGTATTCAATGAGAATATTTCATTCATTCAGATCTAGGATGTGTTATTTGAGTGTTCCCTTTATTTTTTTGAGCAGTGTAGTAAAAGAGAGGAGAAGGATGGCGCTCACAGTTGTTAATAATGAAAAAACAGCAGGCAGGACGGACTCACACAGAGAAGTAATGGAAATCACACGTGCTGCATAAGCTTGATATACCAGTGACTTTCACAGAGACAGAGTTTGTGTTTAAACTTTTAAATGGCGGTAAATTACACTTCCATCAGAAATACCACGTACTTCTCCTCGCTGTCCTGAGATATCCGGATCACTTTGTAGGCTGGAGCTTTTGCTGTAAACGGCTCTCTCATCGCCCTTTCAAAAACTCAGGAGCTTCTAATGTTAAAGCTTCAAAATGGCATCACCGTGATAAAGAGCATTTGCTCCACTGCAAAGCTTTGTCGCTTTACCCACCGAATAAGTCATCCTTCGCCAAGGCATACAGGATGCGAGAGGCTCCGATGAGATTGCTCATTGAGGCAGAGATCGTAGAGGAATAAACTCCAACGATGACCAAGGGCTCCCAGATGTTGATGTCCCTCAGAAAACTATAATCCCTCTGGAGGAGAACACTGCAAAGGGAAAAAGTAAAGAGTTTAACCCACATGATCATGATATCACTTTGCAATCAATGCAGGTCCTTGTTAGACAAAGCGGAGCAGACACGCTTGTATGAACAGTGATCAGAATTATAATAATTTAGCACCAGGAGGCAGAACTTTTTAAGAAGTTTAAACACTTTCAGCCATTTTTAAAATTTGTGAACCTGAAATAAATTTCAAAACATTACAGAGAATAATTTAGGTTATTTTCACTAGATAAACATTGAATGTCAATTAATGCTAATCTATATCTATATATATATATATATATAAACAATACAAATAAATTACCTGAAGTAAGAAAATTACTTGCTTTTCTGATACAAATACCAGTATGTCTTGACTTTCAGGTTAATCTTCTAGAAACTCAGGTAAAAGTGTTCCTTCCAATAAGATCAGGGTTGAAAATAAAGGCAAAAAAAGAAAGAAACCCTTAACTCGGGATTGTAAATCTGATTTTCACAAAATGTTTAAACAGTGATTTAAAAACCATTCATTCCTCCTCAATTTTCCTCCTCTACAACCACAAATGTACTTTACAGATGTTTTATACAATATATCAATGCGAAGTATTGTGTTACACAGAATACCAAAGAAAATAAAACTTAAAGTCCTACATAAAAAACTTAAAGTCCTACATAGAGTAGGTGTCACATTTACCAGTGACACCTACTCTAAATGAATGAGACTAGGTGTCATTTAAAACTCATTTGTTCTGGAGGTAAAATGTGTTTGTGTCCACTAGAAAAAGAACAAGATTGAGGTGATGATTAGTCTGAGGATGTCTAATGAGGAGGTTCAGAAATACAGACAGTGAATGTGTGTGTGTGTGTGTGTGTGTGTGTGTGTGTGTGTAAGAGAGTGTGCTCGATACATGGAGAAAGAGAGATCAGAAAGTACAAAAAACTCTGAAGGGTGTGTGTGATTATGGCCTGCTCCCCACCTCCTTTCAATACAACACAGCTAGGGAGATGAGAATTAAAGCACAGGCTTTCTCCCTCCCCTGATCCATCTCAATCTTTCTTTGTGGCTCAATTCTGTCTCACACACATACACACACAAATCCAATCCATCTATTCCCCTCCTGCATCACCTCCATCTCCCTGATTCTGATGTTTGAGCGGTCTTCCTAGCTTTTCTGTCTCAGTCCTCCTCATTCCATTTCAACTACGATCCGTGACCGCTCTCATTTTCTCTTCGTCCCTCCCTTCCTTCCCTCCTAATTAATATTCTCATCACGTTTTCTTTCAGGTCCACTGATTTTAATACTTATTATTATGGCCCTATTAGGTATTGTTCACTCCATCCAAATGTCTGAGAACATTATTATTTCATATGGAGTCCAAAAGGCAGTAAGCACACTCACTCACAAGCACACAGACACAAAGGATTTCAGGGTGAATCGTGTGAACCAGGACCCTGTGGAGGAGCCACATTGCTGCAGTTTTCCGTTCCCACTTTGGATTGTAAGGATGCAGAATATTCTCAGCATGTCATCAGTAAATATGCCGACATATCTTGGTAAGATGCTTTTAAGGTAAATTTTTAATTAGTTGTTGGGACTTGACATTTGTTAGTGAATCAGAATCATCATATCTACAGTTCTGCCTAAAATGCACTCGTTCATTTGGTAACACCGTTTCGTCACAAGAAGAATGTTCTGGCTTTGAATCCCAGCCTAAAGTCTTTCTGCATAGAGTTTAGGGCCAAAATTAAGAGTAGTGTGCAAATGGCAGTGGCTGCTTCCAGTTTGAAGCCAGCTACTGATATGATTAATGATAGGATGGCACCAGTAACTGGGTGGTCAACTTGTATTAGCGAATGAGAGGCTATGAATAGCATGCCTAGTCTAGACCATCTGATCTCCTGCTGGAATAGAGCAAGTCAAATTTAAGACTGTTTAAGAATGGTTTAATGCCACCTTGGATGACATTTAAGACCAAAATATCCATAGATATGGGCGATTGTTGGGTGAATTTTTTTTGCAAAAAATCTATCAGGGTTTAACAGGTAGCTGCTGGTAGCCTCAAGCACTTTGAGTCACAGAAACCAATGAAGAGGTTTTTGTGTGAGTCAAATCTTTTGCCTAACAGAAAAGTCCTGCAAGAAGAAAAAGTTTAAATAGTTCTGTAATGACAAAACATAGGCTTAAGGCCAACTTGCATTTAAAAAATGTTTTAATTTAAGGCATTTTAAGGCCTTAATTTTAGAACACTTCTGCACTTCAGCGGTTGTCTTGTGCATCTCTGTAAGGTCGTGTGATGGACTGGCAACCTGTTCAGGGTGTACCCTGCCTCTACCCCAATGACCACTGGAGATAGGCACTAGCCTCCAGCAATTCAGAAAAGATAAGGAGAAATGGGATGAACGAGATGTTAAAGAGTAAAAACAGAAGTCTTTTTTATGATTTGAAGTCAGGCCTGAGATGCTTTTCTTGCAAAACGGTGTGACCTCAGAAGACGGAGGTGGCATGGAGAAGTGATCTTAATCAGACCGGATAGTCCAGTAGACCCGGTTCGATTGGGGACTAAAATTGCAACATTCGTTACATTTTCTGAACTGTAGTTTGCATTCACACTGCACTGTGTCTAACGACTAAAACTAACTGAAAAACCTGTTCCCCCAGTCGCCTAAGGGGCACTGCACCAAGATCTACTGAAGAAATCGACACAAAACCTCTTAAGAAGACCAGTGGTGACAGATTTTAGCGGTTGTAGGATTTCTTCATTCATATACATTACTGGTTTGGACATCACCTGTTAGCCGCTAACGTTAGCGACGCTCCTGCAGGTGCCGTTACTACGCGGTGAGTCTGTCCACTGAACCAGGCTGTTCCAATGCGGGATGAGCAGGAATCTGTCACAAAATGATCGCAGCGCCTTTATTTCTTACCCAATTTCTATAAATGCGGCTTAAATTAAAGGTGAGAAAATTCCTGATGTTTGTAAGTATTCTCCCTTGATATAAGTCTATAAACAGTTTGGTTTCTATCAAGATGCAAGAGAGGACTAAGCACATTACTCTTTTATATTGGTGAATAATTACATAATTGCTGCTGTTAATTTTATTAGTTTGTCAAAAATGTAACAAACCATGACTCATACTTTATGAGGCATATGAAATATGTCATCCTATTTGATGATTAAATGTTCAAACAAATGAGGGAATCAGTCCCGTTTTTGTCATTATTAAAGGTTTGAAAATAGCAGCTGCAGAGCACCACAGCAACGGGAAATAAGCTGATAAACAGTAAAACAACTTTAAACCATTTATATTCTGCTCTTCCTCGCTTTCCGTGTCGGCACGCAGACCCGCTGCCAAGACAACCGACACAACATCTTCATTAACCCGCAGATCAGAGAGTAATATATTGACCAGAATGTCCTGCACTGTTGCCAACTTCCTGCATTTGGAACGGTCTCTAGTTAGGTTGCATTCAGACAGGTTTTCTACCGTTTTAGAGTTCACTTCAACTGGACCGAGTCCCAGGTTTTTAGACAGATCGGAGTTTGCTTTTTAAGTCTGTTTTGGAATTCAAATTTGCATTCTGACCTCCCCCCAAAAAATCGGACTTTCTAGACAAACGTATTAGAGTCTGATTCAGGACTCTAATCCTGGGTTGGTCTAAATGCACCCTTAGTTTCCAGTGGAGGTTGACACTGACACAATGCATGGCCTAGTGTGAAGTTTTTATGTTATGACAACATGACCGACATCCTTAATGGTGTTAAGGTCAGTGTTGGTGAGGAACTACTAGCTTTTGAACTTCAATTACGATCGCTGGATTTATACAATTTAGAACTTGTTGGAATTTAAACTTTCAAATGATCGCAGCCTGACCCAACAAAGAATCACAAATGTATGATAGCTTAAATTAAGGGAGCTGGCCACGATCACTAAACTCAATGTGTCTGTAAAACAAAATAGTGCAAACCTCTGAAAGACTTTTTAACTTTGCCTGTGTGTTTAGCTGAGAAGAGGGTCAAAACATGTCACTTGAATATTAATTTCTTTGATGTGGAACAGAAGCTAAATTAATCTGGAAAGCTTGACATTTCCTAAATGGCTCTCCAAAACAAAGAGGCAGCAAACTGGGCGACAGTGATGATAAATGGTATGAGTTTGTATGAGAGGGGAGAGACCGAGAGAGAGAGAGGGTAAAGTCAATATATTGGGTTAAAGCAGAATGCACAATATGTTTTTATGGAGGTAAGTTTTTCCCCCTTTACAAGCTGCGTATTCATTACTCAGGGAATATTGCACATGTATGTATGTGACTGTGTGTGGGTGGCCATGTAGTTGTGCTGGTGATCGTAATTATTGATCAGATCATCCAGCTCAAATGAGCTCTGCTGTAGAAATAAAGAGGAGAACAAAAGCGTGAGAGATTAAAGGATCTTGTTTAGAAAAGAGGAGGAAACACATCTCAGTGACTAAAATGAGCCCACAGAGATTGTTTGGTCGATTGTTCTCTCTCCTGCCATCAAGCTCCAGCCTTCAGCTCATTTGTTTACCATTTTTATTCATGCCATCAATTGTGTATTCATGCGTATTCATATTTTAATCCATCATCCTGTGTGTTTGTGTGTCTGATAATTCACCTGCGCCTTTGTCGAACATTATGGATTAATTATGCGTTATTTCTCAAATGGGATGAAAAATTAAGTGCTGACACCAAGGGCGGGCGGGCACGCATGTGTTTAGGTGTAAAAAAATAGAAAACGACTGGAAGTCACAAGAAGTTCTTGTGTAATTCTTGGAGTGAGAGTAACAATTAAAGATCACTTTAATTGTTCCAGTCTAACAATCATATAGAATGTGCACTGAAGACTCGGATGTGATCAGCGCTAATTACACAGAGGGTTTTGGCAGGTAGCCAACATTGCTGTCATACTCACAGCACCATTAAGTTATCATTAGTGTTAAAAGAATACACAGATAACAGAAAATTCAATATTCATTAAAATGGC